CATATCAGCCTCTATGTGTTATTTAATGCTGAAATCTGAATATTTTGAGCACAACTGTATGGCTTCAACTAAATATATTTTGAATGCAATTGTGTGCATGCAACTACAGATGTGTTGGCCATTTTATATGTAATATTGGTAATCATTTTCTATATCAAAATGTGTTGCTGGAATTTTTTTGTAAAAATGTATTTATATACTTTCATAATGTTTTGTTTAGGGGATTCACTATTTGTCCGTAGCTGGGGCACCTAAGAGGTGCTACCACCCTGTTTAGTGTGCAGCTGGGAACAACATAAATTAAGAGGTGGTTCTACGCTCCTCAAAACCTACAATTTCCCGATTAGTGGCCTTGCTCTCCAGATGCAATTTATCGTCATATGCAGGAATAATGATGATCTACAATGGAGTTTAAATGACATCAGATCTCCTCAGTACACCAGCACTCACTTTCGTATCATAGCTGTTTTTAACACTACTGCTGTCATCTAGATGGTACTAAATCTTCCATTAATTTCCAATTCTTCACGCCATCTCTCCAGACTCTTTTGGTCTGTCACCAGTACTCCTATATCGATTAGTACGACAGTCACCTTCATTTAATACAACCGCTTAAATTCTCTGGCCAGGTCGAAATTTTTTTTTTTTTTTTTTGGCTTTTCTCATGCAATAGAGTCACTCAAGCTAGAAGATTACTGTGTGGAGCTGTTGTAAATGAGGAAGAAGGAATAATCAGAAAGTGCATATTGTGCAGCATATGTAGGCTAGATAACGCTTGGCCCTAGGCTTAATGATTGGAATGCTTAAGGAAGCGTCTTCTCAGGAGTCTGTAACTGTTCTGAGGAAGATGATATCTTAGTTGAACTTACTCCTTACCCAAGGAACACGAACTTAGTGTGGATGGATGATTTGCCACTGTGAACATGGCTTGGTGACAAGCGTATGCCCGGTCTTCAAGAAGAGGGGTCACTTCTGGGACCAACCCTCTTTCTGATTTACATAAATGAGCTACCGAAGAATATTCTCCAGCCATTTGTAAACATCTGTGTGGATGATACGAAGGTATACGGATGCACCTCTAAAACTCCTGACGATCAGAGATTGACAGCTGACCTCTGTTCCGATCTAACACTAACTTTCCAGTGAAGAAAAACTGGCTAGTTAATTCAATGCCTCTAAAATCAAACTAGTTACATTCCATCACCGTCGATCAGACCCCGAACTACCGCCAGTCACGATGAACGAATGTCCCCTCGAGGAGGCACCCTACCTTGAGAGGATATTGAGCCTAAAACTCACACCAGACCTCAAGTGGAATTCCTATATACGATCCATCGCTAAAGATGCAGGTAAAATGATCGGCTCCCTGTACCGCTCCAGTAAGTACCTGACTCCTCATGCTATCCCCTGCCTTTATAAGAGCCGGACCAGACCGAAAATGGAGTACTGTTGCCACATTTGGGCGGGAGCTGTCCAGACCCCACTTTCCAGTCTTGATAGCGTCCAAAAGCGTCTCCGAGTCCTTGTTGGAGGAGAATTATTTTCCATCCTCCAATCTCTCTCTCACACAGGCGGGATGTGGCACTGCTCTAAAGCTATTTCCACGGAAAGTGCTCGGGCGAAGTACATTCCGACACGTCTAACCTTCACGACTAGGACCCGCTGTGCCACTTACATAGTAACAAACCACTCCAGGGACGAGAAGTAAATTCCACTCAAACAGCTTCTTCCCGCGAACCACTGCTCTATGGAACAAATTCCCTTTAGCATGTTTCCCCGATCACTGCAATCTTAACCTTTTCAAGTCTAGAGACAACCGTTATCTTCCCCTCCTCTCCATATAAACTACCCCCTTGAAAGTAACCCTCTAATCCGAGTACCCCCGGCCCTTATACAGGGTGAACTATACTGCAAAAAAAAAAAATTCCAGGAGTTTCCTGTAATGATTGCGCGCAGTTCTGAATGAGGCAAGAGTTTTGTTATAACGATTCCTCTCATAGAAGTAGTGATTACGGTGGACCATGGCTGCAACACATTGCACTAGCGACAATAACGCACTGTTACAAGATGTTTACGAAGTCTTCAGTTTCAAATGCCGTCTTATTGAAAAACAGGGAAAATATATTTCAAAACTCAAATGTGAAAACTTTCTAAAGGATTGAATATATATATATATTATATAATTTTAATAATATAAGTTTATTTAACCAGTAAGATCATTAATTAATAATTAATTAAATGCTATGTTCCTTCGGGTTGTGGGTGATCATGTCTCTCCTCATATTACTTTTCTTTATTATCTGTGAATTGGCATGACTGCTTGGGAAAAGATAGGGGAGTGGTTTCCCGTTGCCTTCTCTACGGTTTGGATAAAAGAGTTTTCCTTTTCTTAGACTAGTTGCAATCCAAGAATAGAGATCTCAGTCTAGCCTGCTATTTAACCCATAGCTGTAGCGAGAACAGGTGGATTCATGACCTTTTCAAGGGTATTTCTGTGAAAGTCAGCCCAACTGGGTAGGCAGGGATTTGGACTTATTTAAACAGATATGTTGAAAATTTCATTCACTCTAATGATTATAATAACGTCACAGCAAATTCTGGCTACGATGAGAAGACGGGAGAAATTAATCATGGCTGTATTTCAAGTTTCAAATAGCAAAGTAAATATTTCTTCCCGCCTCCAATCTTTTTCCTCTGTTATTCGCATTTAAAAATAATGCTACGAGCTTCGTCCTGACTTTACTCAGTCTCCGCTGTTTTCTCTGTATTACTAACCGTATTTAGACTCTTTCTTTGCCAGTTTAGTTCTAACATTAAGCTATTAACTTTGCAACACGACATAATAAAGGGTGAAGTTATACAATAGGCACTGCGACCCGAAATAATATTTTATTCTTTTTCAAATTATTTTTTCATATCGCTACAGATCAAGCACACCAGGTCACAAATATAAAAACATTTTTTTTATTAAATTTTATAAAAGTTAATAGAGTGGGGGGATTCCAGTTTGCTAAGTGAATTCATTGGAATTAGAATTTATCGCACTCTACGGAAGCCAAAAAAAATGTGCTCATACGACGTCAATTCTTAAAATATAATTTTTTTTTTACTTCGTAATCTGAAATGTGTAATCGATAATAATACCGTAATTTCTCGAAAATAATACGCACCCATAAATAATACGCACCTCAACAAACGATCCAAAAATTAAGAAATATATCTATCCCTATGTATAATACGCATCTATAAATTTTATCAAAAGAAAAAACAAAAAAATAATTACGAAGACATTTTGTCGACCCTGAACTTATTGTAAAATGGATTTAGGAATGTTGGGATTCCGTCAGTGAGGGTGTTAGAAATAGAGGTCTCGAGAAGTGTTGCCTCACGACAGCCATGGATGGCTCTGAAGATGACATCCTTTGGCAAGAGAATGAAGAAGCCTAAAATAATTTTGAACAGGACGAAGATAATATTGTTAATGATAATGACAATTTAGATATTGATTCTATAATAGAAAGCGGTGGTGGTGGTGGTGGTGGTGGCGGCGATGATGATGATGATGATGATGATGATGATGATGATGATAAAAATTAAAATTTCAATAAATTGTTAACTTGATATCCTCTTTTCCTCAAAGTTAGCCTTTTTATAGATTTTTTTTATTTTTTCGCCAAATAAAAAATGCAGTTACTGATAAACATAAATTTATTGACAAAAAATGTTACAATTATTATTGTTGGATTTAAAACGAAAATTGATATGATATCTTGCTTATTTTAGAACAAGTACATATTTATTGTTATAAATCAATAACGAAAACAATATTTTTGTTTAAACCTATTTATAATACGCACCCCTATTATCACCCGTAATTTACCGTAAAAATGCGTATTATTTTCGAGAAATTACGGTACATGCAAAAAGAACTTCAGATTACAAATTTTTAATTTTTAATTTTTTTTTCACATTATAAGAATTGATTGGTTGATTTTTTTACGACTTATCAATCCTCACATTTATAAGAAATCGCGTCGTTTGAGCATATTTGTTTTAGTTTCCGTAAGGGGGGATCAATTTACAATGAATTTGCATAGCAAACTGGACCCCCAATATTAACTTTTATCAATTTTATTTTTAGATATTCTTTATCTAGAGTAACTAATCTATAGCAATATGAAAAAAAAAATGAAGAAATTGATTGTTTCTGGTCGCAGTATTGGAGGGAACTGGGCAGCTCCCTCCCCCGCTGCTTTCCACTCTCGATAAAGTCCAAAAGCGTCTCCACGTCCTTGTAGGCGATGAATTTTCTATTCTACAACCCCTTTCTCACAGGCAAGATATCGCAAGCCTCTCACTGCTCTATCGCTTATTTCCATGGTGAGTGTTCAAATGACCTACACTCCTTAGTTTCACCAGTCATAATCTTCGCGGCTAGGACCCGCCATTCAGCACACATTAGAGCGAATCACTCCTATTCCCTTTATATCCCCCCTAGTGAGATGTAAGTTTCACTCAAGCAGCTTCTTTCCACGAATCGTTGGTCTGTGGAACCGACTCCCAAGATGTTGCTTCCCCGATCACTACAATCTTAACCTGTTCAAGTTTAAGGTTAACCGTTATCTTCCACACATATTCGCATAATCTGTGCTTATTACAATGTAACCCTCTACCTCGTGTGGCTCTCGGGCCTTGTACAGAGCGGACCTCAATGCAAAAAAATGATTTTCTGACTCATTGATTCGTTTTCTACGTCATATCAAGTTTATATATAACTTGATAAGACGTAGAAAAGTATTCAATGAATCAAAAAGTCATTTTTACATATAATATAATATAGTCATACAGGGTTTACTAATTAATTTATACATGGATTCAGACCGTTCTCAAAGGTATTTGCGTGTAAGTGAATATAACGAACCCAACGGGAATTGGAACTCCGCTCTACGATTAACCCTTCACAGCCATTATCCATTACACCGCCAGCACATACATAAATGCTTGCAACACCTGGTATTCACAAGCGGTCACCCATCTTCGTAACGACCATGCTCAGCGTTACTTAACTTCGCAGATCGGGTGAGAGCCGGTATTTCAACGTGATATGTCCGTAAGCCAGTTTATCGTTACCGGCAGTAAATAGTATTGTATTTATAATGGTCTCTAATTATTATTATTATTATCGTTGTTAATTGTCATCATTATTATAATTATACCCATCATTATCATAATTAACATCATCATTATTATCGCTGTGGTCATCATCGTCACGTGTCCCTATTTTCCGAAGTCGTTATTATGATCGCTATTTCAAAGTTCCAGGAAATGCTCATAATTACAATTGCTTTCACCAATTCTTATTATTTTACACGCCGGAAACTCTACATCATTAGAGATCGAGTGCCAACAAGTCCCCTTCTATCTAAAGGGTCAGTATTATGGAAAAATTTAGTAAAACAATAATCTGCATTGTTTCCACCTCTTTAACGACTAAACTGCTACCCTTTGGTCATTATAAGAACTCTTTTTACCTTTGTATCAGTATGGCTGATGCTAACCTCCCGGAGGGTTACTCATTGTACTTTCTTGGTCTCATATTCTCCCCTGACACGAAGTGGAATGATTATATGGAATCAATCGCTAGGTCTGCTGCTAGGAAATTTGGTTCGCTGTCGTAACTCTTTTTCTCGTTAGAATCCATCTTGCACCTTAATAAATCTACCATTCGCCCGTGCATTGAATATTGCCGCAATATCCGGTCTGGTGATCCGGTTATATATCTTGAGATTCTTGACAAAATACAAAGAAGTATCTGTTATGTTATCGGTCCTAACCTGGCATCTCGACTTTCCCACCGTCGTGATGCGGCATCCTTCTGTATTTTCTATAAATATTTTCATGGCAGTTGTTCTAATGAGATTTCTTCCATAGTACATCGACCGCATGAAATTAAGCGTACTACTAGAGTGGCAATTAGGTCTCATCGTTTTACTGCTGAATTGATATAACCTTAATTGTATTCTAATAGTTCCTTTTCTCGCACTTCTCGCCTGTGGAACTCTATTCCAGTTTCTTGTTTCCCTACCACCAAAAATTTAAATGCAATGTCAATCGCTTTTTGTCTTCCTGAATCTTGTTCTTTTATTGACCTTTCGCCTCACTAAAGTCTTCTCATTCTCTTTCACTTTTAGCGGAGTTATCGCCTTGCTTGGGGTGACATGATTAAAAAAAAAATCTCCAATTCCTTATACCCGTTTACACGTCTTTGAGACCGTTCCAGGTGCGCTATTGATTATAGACACTACCTTCAATATAATTTCTATTCTCGTATTTCAATTCGTTTGAAAAGACCTGATGCTCACTTTTTTCCCCCTTCTCAGATTGCGGAGTGGGTCAAGCGGAAAAAGTAAAATCGATGAATTGAGTTCAAATTCTGGTTGAGATAGTGTGCGTTCATTTCGTACTAATACCCTTAGGAAAAAGGATAAATGCGCATTTCCTAATCGGTAAGATCAAGGATTACTCCCTGCTACTTGTAACATATCGTCCACTCGCAACCTGATGCACGTTCTTTAGCGATGAGTATGAGATGAGTATCGCCACATTTACTTTTTAATATACTTTCTTGTCTTTGCTTAAATTAAATCCGACTGCCTTAGCCTTCTGCTTTGTAATTGGTGATTTGTCTGAATAATGTTATTTTTATATTTGTTATGCCTCACCGTTTCTTTTTTAATTGTCTTCATCATAATCGTTTCCTTCTATGTGCCGTGTTCCTTCAGAACCTGGACGATCACAGCTCTCCACAACTTTCAATCCATTGTGGCTCTTAACAAAGTTGTTGTTTTTTTATTATCCTTTCTTCCTTTTTTACATATATACATCTATTTACACGCCGCTTCTCCCTGTCAGTTTCCCTTTGATATCTCCTGTAAGTTTCAAATTTTCCAAGCCTTCTTTCTTCATTATGTGTCCCATAAGTTTCAACTGCTTCTTTCTGATTCTAAGTGACCTTCTTTGTTTCCAGTGTTTCTTAAAACTTCATCGTCGCTTACACGGTCTGTCCTTAATATTCTCAGCATCCTTCTGTAGAAGCACATCTCTGTTTCCTAAAGTTTTCTCTTCACCTATGAATTGTCCAGTATTCCCTGCCATATTGATATTACATCGCAGTTCAGTACTTATTTGTCTTTTATAACGAAATTTTCCTGTTTCTTATTACTTTGCTTACGTTTTGGAAGGCAGCTTTTGCTATTCCAATGCGCTTTCAGACATCAGTGCCGCATTTTCAATCCTCCGTTAAAAGACTTCCCAGATATTTAAACTTCTGTACTTGCTTGATGTTGACATCTCCAATTTCTAACACGCATGTTGTGCTTTTTCTCTTTGTCTTCTTACAGTTGATGGTTACTCATTTTTCCTCATTTTCTTTTACTGCCTTCTCTACAAGGTTCTTTTAGTTTTCTATGTCTTTTTTTTCTTTGTTAATTTTTTAATTAGTTTTTTCCTGTTAATTAATACTATGTTTAGCTTCTGGAAGGCATCTTTCACTAATCCGATACGCGTTCGGATTTCGGTGTCACATTTTCCATCCTCTGTTAAAAAATCTTCGCAGATATTTAAAGTTCTGTACATGGAATGAAAGAAAAAAAACAGACGAACGTTTAAGCTTATTGTGAAGCTTTAGTCAAGTAGTTCGGGGGTGAGGAGGAGGAGGAGACAACTATGGTTTTCTTTCACCACAGTACTTGTTTGATTTTGACATCTCCAAGTTGTAGTTCGTATCTTGGTCTCTTTCTCTTGCTATCTTCATTATTATAGTAATTTGTATTAACGGTTTTAGTAAAGATGTTCTATTACTAATTATGGTAATCGCATTTTGTCTTCGTGCTATCAGAATATTTTTCATGATAAATTTTTCTCTATTTATTTAATTATATTTGTTTATCATTGATACTGCATCAATCATTCTTTCGCTTTTTTAAACCGTGTATTTTAATCCCAAGACACTAAATGTGGGGAAAATCGGAAGAATCACATTCAATAGCCTCTAAAAGCTGTGTTTACATTACAATTCAGCCAGTTTCCGCTTTGGCTATAAAACAAACACTCACCCCAGTATTTTTAGTCCCTCCGGACATTATTATACTTTATCAATTGACATGAGTAATCGATCATTTGAGTGGATTAAGGCTTTTGTCAATCGATGATAGGCTTGTGGATGAAAAAAAGAAAACCATTAGACATAGTTTCGACGCACAAGGTCAGTTCTGATTCAAAACGAGGCTTAATTCATGGTGTCGTGAAGTCTTAACTTATAGGTAATGTGTGTGCACGCGTGCGTTTGTATCAGTTCGTGTTAATTGCATACATTTTCCTTGTTATGTAACAATGTTTGAAATAGGTGTGAGTAAATAGCATTTCTCCGAAGGAAAAGTATTCTCAGGTCTGTAATAATCGTACACTCCCTACTATTTATTAATTAAAAAAAATCACCTTCCCGCTATTATCCCACCACTCCGCTTAGTTATTTTCGTTAAAACTTCCGAGAAAATAAAACCAATTCTAAGAAAATGTTCATTTTGTGAAACGGATTTGAAACACATTCTAAAACTCAAATTCAAATTATAATTCTTTCATTTCTAAAAAAAAAAAACGAGGACTCAAAATGCTATTTTAATCGTCTAATGTGACGTTTTTCTTCGTTATTTAAAAAAATGCTATTTTAATCGTCTAATGTGACGTTTTTCTTCGTTATTTAAAAAAATGCTATTTTAATCGTCTAATGTGACGTTTTTCTTCGTTATTTAAAAAAATGCTATTTTAATCGTCTAATGTGACGTTTTTCTTCGTTATTTAAAAAAATGCTATTTTAATCGTCTAATGTGACGTTTTTCTTCGTTATTTAAAAAAAAATAATTTAAAAGATACAGCTGAGAAAAGAACATCTAGAATGCTTGACGAGTGTGAAACTTCGTCTTTATTCATGCCTTTTCGCAAGCAGTTCATGGCTATTTACAACAATATAATATAGCAACAATAAGTAGAAGCTTATGAAGCCTTATTTAACTAATTCAGCTTCAGTGCTGAAAACGTTTATTTTATTTTAGTGATGTTTACAAACGAAATGGAAGATGGGATGTGCTTATTTTATGATCACAAACAACGTACGATTTACGAAGCAAATAATAACAAATTAAGATGCATTACAAATATGCTTTGAAAGGTTTATATTTGCACTAAAAATATTGATATAAAAGAAAATTATTTTATCGTGTGCAGATCGTTCGGTTTGAAGGCACGTCGAAAATCAATGTGATTTCTCATCTCCAGCATGTTTGGTCGTTTCTGACTATGTCCGTCTGCTCAGATATTTTTTGTTTCAACACTCACAGAGCCAGCCTATGGTTTATACTACAACTATCCTAAGCGGACCTTAGTCCAGTTCAAGTATGTAACCCGCCTGGACTACCTAAGATTTTTAAAGTAGTGTTGTCTTTCTATGCTGATTGCCAACTACGGAGAAAAAAATTCAACCTTCTCTATTTAACCTATAGGTGGAGAGAAAGTGGACTCATACATGTCCCAAGGGTATTTGTGCGAAAGTGAATGCAACGATCTCGACCGAAATTCGAACGAGGCTCACTGATTTCCCCTTCTGACCCGTTACACCAGCTTCACACAAAAGTAATTTATCTCTCTTTAAATAATTGGTTGTGTTCACGATCAATTCCTTCATTCAAATAAACCAAAGTCTAGATTTCATTCCATCCTCGTCTCAGACTTTTCAAACACCCCGCCTAATTCTAATCATCCCGCTTATTAAATTTTGTAAGAAATTCCACTCCCGCTTATTCAAAAAACCCTTTTTTATCCAGGACTGAGGAGCTGGTTCGATTTGTTCCAAGAACAGTTATTATTTCCTAATTATAAATAAAAGTACGTATGAAATTGTTTCATTACATATAAACATTAGACTCATGAACCCATTTTCAGACTTTCAATAACGCGAGGCATGCTTTGATGAAAGGAATCTACAAAAGATTGGCAAATTAATCTACGGCATTGAATGAAATAAATGCCATTTTAAGTACAAAATTCCTCTCCTTTTACA